TTGACTAGATAAGAAAAGCCTGAGTTCTGCCTGAAAACTTTTGATTTCATCTTCACAGCACCTCACCTCCCTTTTTGCAGGCAGGCTGGCAGAGGGTGGCATCCAGTGGGCCTCCCCATGCTGACTGCTGGCCCTCTTGTTGAGTTTGGTCACGTTTTCAAAGCCTAAAACATCTTGAAACATATGATGACCATTGCTCATTCCGTGCTCTCTCCAGCTAGACAGAGCTCAGGAGGAGGGAGGAGCACCTCTGCTGCCGGCTTGCCAGAGCTCCCATGTGGCCCGCCACAGTTGTAGCCTGGGAGCTGGGGTGAGCTCTTGGGCCGGGCTGAGCTGTTGGGCCCAGCTGTGTGGGGTGCTGGGGTACCCATGCTCCAAGGCACTGGCTGTGGGGCTGTGCTGGGTTCTAGGAGGACAGGGTGGGTTTAGGGTCTCATCAGTTTATAGACTGCTTCCCTGTCCCGCACCCTAGGGCGGAAGCCTTCCTTTGAGTTTTTTCCTTTGCAAGAAGCCCTTATTTTGGCATCTGCATTAAGGTGCAGTGTGCTGGTAAGAATGTTGGCTTGCCCCAGAGAGGTAGGATTTTGGACCCCAGCCTGCCATTCCTGCTCTGTGGGCCGTGGGCAGGTGACTAACCTTGCCAGCCTCTACACCCTCCTCTGTGCAGTGACTATGAGGAAAGAAGGAACAACATGGTCAGACGTTGGAGACCTTAGATTCTGTAAAGCACGCATATGAGACCTGGCAGAGCATGCTGCCTGTATGGGGCTCTTGTCTTTTTGCGGTCTTCATGGCCTGACACGTTGCGGTGCCTTTCTGGGGTGAGCCTGAGGGCTCAGCAGGGAGAGGCAGTGCGAGACCAGTGAGAGCCTGTGTAGAAGCGAATAGCTGCATTGTCCTTCAGTCTCGGCTGAATGGCTTTTATTTAAACCTCTTCTCTATTAGAGTGTCCTACTTTGCAGTACCGAAGAATATCTGTTCATCTGCGGTTCTTCAGTAAAGAATAGTTTAGACCCCTAAATGCTATCTGACCCTGTAACTTTCTAGGTCTAAGGAACAATTATTTTAAAGGATAAAGATGTTGGTTTAAAAGATGTAGATAACACTAGCCAATGTGTTGATTGCTTTATAGGTACGAACTATAGGCCACAAACTGCTGGCGTAAAGCTGGTTTCAGCCTGTAGATGTGTGGGTGTGTGTATGCTTGTGCCTGCAGAGTGTTTTAATTTTATATTTTGAATTCAAATGATTTTCTATTTGGGAGATTTATATTTTTAACTTGTCTTGAAAGAATAGAAGGTCTGGTGCAGCTGTGCTTCCATTCCTCTGCGGCCCGGTGGTGCTGGCCCGTCTGCCTGAACCTCTGCACCTTATCCCTGTTCTGTCCCTGCCTCCAGGGTTTCCTGCCAGTGCCATTCGTCACCCTGCACTCAGCCTGCTGCAGTCATTCACTCCTCATGTCACTGCCTGGCCTGTGTAGGCGTTTCAGTTCATTTTCACCTAGTAGGCCTTCAAATATTTGTTGAATGAAACTGTTATTTCTTCCAGTCCTCAGAGCAATCCTCAATTTACAAAGGAAGAAATTGAGACCAAAGAAGTTCTAGTGTTTTGTCTAAGGTTACACAGCTCCCTAAATGGCCAAGTAGGTCCTTAAGTCTACTTATTAATAATTCACTCTAAAGCTAGTAATTTTTCCAGTAAATCTCTTAAATGTTTATGGCCCAGACTTTCTAAGTAGCTGACTGGGTATTGATTGTTCTTTAAAGAGATCACCCATTGAGATTTGCTCTGAGCAGATGTATTATCCCTAGAAAATAAGCAGTGGCGATACACTTTAATAATAATATTCAAGTTATAGTAGCATTGACTACTTCTGTAATATGTGCATTTTTCTTTTTTTGTTTTTTTGAGACAGCATCTTGCTCTGTCACCCAGGCTGGAGTGAAGTGGTGTGATCTTGGCTCACTGCAATCCCCACCTCCTGGGTTCAAGCGTTTCTTGTGCCTCAGCCTCACAAGTAGCTGGGACAAACAGACAGACACCACCATGCCTGGCTGATTTTTTCTTTTTATATTTTTGGTAGAGACGGAGTTTCACCATGTTGGCCAGGCTGGTCTCCAACTCCTGACCTCAAGTGATCTGCCTGCCTCGGGCACCCAAAGTGCTGGGATTACAGGCATGAGCCACTGTACCCGACTGCATTTTTCAATGTAAAAATGTTTCCTAACATTAGAAATTACTTTTTTTTTTCCCCCAAAATAAACTGATAATCTGTGTTTGTCAGCTCTGGCTGCCATAACAAAAAGCTGTAGACTGAGTGAGTTAAACAACAGAAATTAGTTTTCGTACAGTTTTGGAGGCTAAGTTCTGGTTGGGGCTCTCTTCCTGGCTTGTAGATGGCTGCCATCTCACTATGTGCTTATATGACCTGTTCTATGTGCGTACACAGCTCTCTGGCTTCTCTTATGAGGACACTAATCCTCTAATTTTAGGGTCCTGCCATCATGACCTCATTTAACCTTAATTGCCTCCTTTTTTTCTTTTGTTTTTTGAGACGAGGTCTCACTCTGTCGCCCAGGCTGGAGTGCAGTGGCGTGATCTCAGCTCATTGCAACCTCTGCCTCCCAGGTTTAAGTGATCCTCCTACCTCAGCCTCCCAAGTAGCCGGGATTACAGATGTGTGCCACCATGCCCAGCTAATTTTTGTATACTTTAGTAGAGACGGGGTTTCACCATGTTTACCAGGCCAGTCTTGAACTCCTGACCTCAAACTCGCCTGAACTCGAACTCCTCAACTTGAACTCGCCTGCCTGGGCCTTCCAAAGTGCTGGGATTTTAGGCATGAGCCACCATACCCGGTTACCTTCTTTTTTTAAAAAAAAAAAGCCTGAGTCTTGCTTTGTCTCTGAGGCTAGAGTGCGGTGGTAGGATTATAGCTCACTGCAGCCTCCAACTCCTGAGCTTGAGTGATCCTCCTACCTCAGGCCCCCCAAGTAGATGGGACTGTAGGTGAGTACCAACTGGCCCAACTAATTCAGAAAAAATTTTTTTGTAGAGATGGGCGCTCACTTTGTTGCCCAGGCTGGTCCCACACCCCTGGGCTCAAGCTGTCTTCCCACGTTGGCCTCCCCAAGCACTGGGATTACATGTGTGAGCCTCTGTGCTCGGCCCTTAATTGCATCCTTATAGGCCTTATCTTGAAATATGTTAGAGAGTTAGGGCTTCATCATTTGAATTTTGGGAGCACCCAGTTCAGTCCATAGCATGAGGTTTTGGGGGACAAGATAATGTAGCCTAAGATTTGCCTTTTTCCGCTGGAAGAGATAAAAATTATGAGTAAAGTTACCTGTCATGTAACACTGCTAAATCAGAGGGCTACCTTCAGTGTTTCAAACTGTAAATTTTTGTTTGTATTCCTACTTATTTTCTCTCCATTCTGCACTACCTTGATGTTGTACTCCCATCTTTGCTTACTGAATTAAGCACAGCCTCCCCCAGTACCACCTGGCCTTGGTTCCATTTTATATTTTAAAAATGTTTTTCTTCCTACCTTTTTATTTGCAATTTTTTTAACATACAGAGAAATTGAGTGTATTTACCAGTTAACATTTGTCACATTTGTTCTGTATCTGTGTGTATACACATACATACATATACAGACACACACTTTTTTCTTGAACCATTTGAAAGTAACATACAGATATAATGATTTTTTTTTAGTTGTTTTTTTTTTTTTTTATTTCTGAGACAGAGTCTCGCTCTGTTGCCCAGGCTGGAGTGCAGCGGCACGATCTTGGCTTACTGCAAACTTCGCCTCCTGGGTTCTCCTGCCTCAGCCTCCTGAGTAGCTGGTATAACAGGTGCATGCGCCACCGTGCCCGACTAATTTTTTTGTATTGATAGTAGAGACGAGGTTTCACCATGTTGGCCAGGCTGGTCTCGAACTCCTGACCTCGTGATCTGCCTGCTTCGGCCTCCCAAAGTGCTGGGATTATAGGCGTAAGCCACCGCGCCCAGCCTATAACGATATTTTAAACCCTACACATATCAGTGTGTATCATTTAATAACAAGGATATTTTCTTATATAAACTCGTCATTTTTCTCACCCTGGAAATTTAACATTGATACAGTGATGTGTAATATACAGTCTGTATTCAAATTTTCCCAGGTTAAAAAAAAAATCTACCCTGTCTCTCACACCTTATTTCGTATTTCATGCTGCTTTCTTAGTTTGTATCTGGTCTGGCCAGACTGGCGTACTTCCTCTTCCTGAAGCATGTGCCGTACATGTCTGCTTTCGTGCCTTTGCACAGGCTGTGTCTTATTCGGAATCCGCTCATTCCATCTGGACCTGGTGAAATCCTGCTGTTCCAAGCACTTTGCAGTGGTTTTTCCTCATATGGCATCCCTTGACATCCCCTAATGTGTTTGCTCCCTTCTTTAAACCGCAAGCTCTTTATGCTCTTGAATAATGTCTATTGCATCATGCCCTGTAATGAATGTAGAATTTTAGGACTTTTTAAAAATCTCCTTCTTAGGACTAGGGGCTTCTTGAGTATGGAACTTCATATAGCCTGTACTCTCCATTTTTGTTGCTCATTAAGTATTTGTTTAGTTGACTTAAACCCAGAGTGTTTCACATGGTATTTTATTTTTAGTATAATTTATTTATTTTTAGTGTTGTTTCTTAATTTGGAAAGATGGTCTGAAAATTCTAGTTTTCTGAAATTATCTTAAAGAATGTAAAGAACTAAGGATATGGACTTTACTGTGTATATAGGGATGGGGGTCCCACAGTTTTACTACCCTTTAACATTGTATCAGCAAAGTGAAAACTGTCAAACATGGCTTTCTCTAGACAAATGTATATAAGGATTGTATTCACAGTTCCACTGGTAAAATGGTGATAAATTGGGGTGGTATATGGCCTGTTGTATCCCAGCAGGACTTGCTGGGGGATGACACAGAGCAGCTGTAAGATCTCTTCTTTTATATCTAGGTTCGAGATGCAGCAATAAACAGCTTAGTGGAAATTTACAGACATGTAGGAGAACGTGTGAGGGCAGATCTCAGTAAAAAAGGATTGCCACAGTCCCGGTGAGTGCAGATTTTTTCCTTTCTTCTGCTCTACCCCCCATTCTTTTCCAGTTAATATCTTGATTTGCAGTACTTTTTCTGTTGTGGTTATTTTATTCAAAGAATATACGGTTAGAGGGTAGTTGGATATTTTGTCCAGATCATACATCAGGGGTCCCCTCCCATTCCACTTCCTCAGAAATGAGACTTTCTCACCCAGACTGGCCAGGTCCCATGCCACATACTGATTTTAAAAGCAACTGGTATTGAAAAATTCAGCACTCTTACAGTTTTATGGTTCTATATCTAAGACTGTATCTATATCTGTACAGACAGCACTTAGTATAGTAGGTGCCTAGAATACATTTGAATGAATGAAGCCATTCCAGGATGTGTTTGGACAAAAATTCGTAAGTTACAATTTTAGAAATCATGTTTTAAATGTAACTTTCTGTTTTCATGTCATTCTCAATGTGTATAATTCCATGCAAAGGGATCAGCGTCTCATCAGACCCAAGACAACTGGAGTCCAGAAATGTGACTTTGTTATAGTCCAAATTTTTAAAATAGTGTAATGATCAGATATGTATAATTTTAACTGTGATGGAGAAACTTAACACCAAATTAATTCCAAACTTTTACCCTGGGTCATTCCTTTAAGGGGGAAAGTAGTGTTAAAATTCCAGACAGAACTGGAGTGGACTCACAGGGCAGCTTATCTGAGCCTGTCATTTTGTCCATGCAAACCCCAGAGGCCTAGAGACATGAAGTGACTTTTGAGAGATTACACAGCTACTAAGAGTCAGAACCAAGTTCAAAACCCTGTTCTTCGGACTTGCCTTTAATTTTCTCTGCCCTGTTTCACAAAACAGTTGATGGCGTACTGGGCATCTGGAAATGGGATGGAATACTGAAATATACAGGAGTTAACTGTCTTGATGTCTCCAAGGCAAATATGACAGCAGTGGGCCCCAGACCCTCAAGTGGCGGCTCCATGGGCAAACAAGTGGACTATGTTTCCTTGTGGTTGAGAGTCATGCCTGATCTGGAATTGCTCTCACCATCTGTGCACAGGATGATTAGATGGGAATAAAACTACTTTTCATGTTCTTTACGAAAGATAATCTGTGAGAATAGTTTTTGTTTTTTTTTTTAATTCCTTTGTTTTGTGAACCTCAGCCTTCTGGTCTTTGAATATACGGTGAGAACACAGGAGGAAAAAGAACTCAGCAGCAATACTGAACAATCTCTCAGGGAAAATTGGAGGGCACAGATGATCAGGGAAGGCATGATATCAAGGGAAGGGACTGTTAAATGACGAAGTCACCGTGGTTGTTCAGGAAACAGGTCTTGAGAGTGAAACCCTGCCCTGCCGCAGGGCTGGCCTCGCGCCATGCTGTGTCACGTGATGTGACCCCAGACCGTGAATCCACCATTTTACACAGTTTCCATCTTAACAGGAGGCTTCCTCTGTATGTTTGGAAAGTAACCACAGCAAACTAGCAAATCAGGGAGAAACGACATGGTAGAACCGAGATCTAGAGAGTTGAGAGTACAGAAAAGAGTTCATGCAGCCAGCCTGAGACTGCTGTCCTTAGAAAGGCCTGCTTACAAGCCTGGCCCCAGGCTGGTGTCTAGAAATGTGGGTTTGGGGAGGGCCCCCACCATTCCCAGCAAGTGGGATAAGAGTGGCTCACTGTGTCAAACTGCACAGCACAGTGTGGTTTATGCTGGATACCTGTAACCTCTCTGCCAGTTGGTCCCTAAAGCCTGTTTCCACCTGGACTGGCTGCCTTCACTGCCTCTTGGAAACCCATCATCCTGACACCTCTTTGTCATACTGGGTCTTGGCTTCACCTTTCTCGGCAGGTGCATCTGCTGTTTCTTGGAGACCAGGCCTTTTCTTTCTTGGTTCATTCATTCATTCATTTGTTCATTTATTTAATTTTAAAAATTATTTTTATTTGTTATTATTATTTTTTGAGGCGGGACCTCACTCTGGTACCCAGACTGGAGTGCAGTGGCATGATCGTTGCTCACTGCAGCCTTAACTTCCTGGGCTCAAATAATTGTTCCACCTCGGCCCCCCAAGTAGCTGGGACTAGAGGTGCATGCCACCATGTGCAGGTAATTTCTGTATTTGTTGTGCAGATGGGGTTTTGCCATGTTGTCTAGGCTGGTCTCAGGCTGATTTTTTTTGAGTCACTGATTCAATCTCTTTACTTGTTAGAGGTCACTAATTCAATTTCTCTACTTGTTAGGGGTCTATTCAGATTTTCTGTTTCTTTTTGAAGCAGTTTTGGTAGCTTGGGTCTCTGTAGGAATTTAGTCATTTTATCTTGGTTATTTAATTGTTGGCATATAATTGTTCATAGAATTCCCCTGTAATCCTTTTTATCTGTACATGCTCAGCAGTGATGCCTTCCCTTTCAAGGTTTTTATTTGATTAATTTGAGCCTTTGCCCCTCTGGTCAGTCTGGTTAAGGTTTGTCAATTTTTGTCTTTTCAAAGAACTAACTTCTGGTTTCATTGATTTTTCTCTTTTTCCTGTTGTATATATTTTGCTTATTTCACTCTAATCTTTACTTTTGATTGGTTTGATGTACTTGTCTTTTTCCAGTTTTTTAAGATGGTTATTGATTTGAGATCTTGTTTTAATGTGGACATTTACACCTATGAATTTCTAAGTACTGCTTTAGCTGTATTCCATAAGTTTTGATATGTTAATGTTTTCATATATCTCAAAGATTTTCTAATTCCTTTTTGTTTTCATTTTTGAGTTGTTACTTAGGAGTGTTTATTTGATTTCTACATTTTTTGATTTCTCATTTCTTTTTGTTATTAATTTCTGATTTTATCCTATTGTAGTTAGAAAAAATAATTTGTATGGTTTCAGTCGTTTGAAATTCTTTTCTTTAAATTGAAAACATTTTTTTTGAGACAGAGTCTCACTCTCTTGTCCAGGCTGGAGTGGAGTGGTATAATCTTAGCTCACGGCAACCTCTGCCTCGGGTTCAAGCGATTCTCGTGCCTCAGACTCCCAAGTAGCTGGAATTACAGATGTACACCACTACACCTAGCTAATTTTTCTAATTTTAGTAGATATGAGGTTTTGCCACATTGCCCAAGATGGTCTCGAACTTCTGCCCTCATGTAATCTCCCTGCGTCAGACTCCCCAAGTACTGGGTTTACAGGTATAATCCACCATGCCCGGCTTGAAATTTATTGAGGCTTATTTTTGTGGCCTGGCATGTGGACTCCTGGATAATATTCCATGTATGCTTGGAAAGAATCTGTAAGCCAGGCCCAGTGGCTCATGCGTGTGATGCCATCCCTTTGGGAGGCTGAGACAGGATTGCTTGAGCCCAGGAGTTCAAGACCAGCCTTGGCAATGTGAGACCCCATTTCTACAAAAAAATTAAAAAATTAGTTGAGTGTGGTAGCATGTGCCTGTGGTCCTAGCTAACTACATGAGACGCTGAGGCAGGAGAATCTCTCCAGCTTGGGAGATTGCGGTTGCAGTAAGCTGAGATCGTGCCATTGCACTCCAGCTTGGGTGACAGAGAGAGACCCTGTCTCAAAAAAAGAAGAATCTGTATTCTGATACTGTTTGTTTGAATATCTTATAGATGTTTGTTCTAGTTGGATTATAGTGTTATTGAAGTCTTTTATTTTCTTGTTGAGCCTCTTTCTGGTTTTTAAAATCCATTAAGTAATGTACATATTGAAGTTTCCAGTTAATACTGGTGAATTATCTATTCCTCTCTTCAGTTGTCACTTTTTGCTTCCTGTATTTTGGGCTCTGTTCTTAGATGCATATACGTTCATAACCGTTACTGTTGTAACAATTATTTACATTAGGTATATCTCCTAATGCTATCCCTCCCCCCTCCCCCCTCCTCACAATAGGCCTCGGTGTGTGATGTTCCCCTTCTTGTGTCCAAGTGATCTCATTGTTCAATTCCCACCTATGAGTGAGAACATGTGGTGTTTGGTTTTCTGTTCT